ATAATAATAAAGGTTGGAATCAAATCAGACAAATGCAAAAAAAGTATGGTGACAAGCCCAAATAAAAATAACAAAAGATGGCCAAAAAGTGAACAACATCAGAAGAAGCATAGGAATGCTTTTTGTCTCTCTTTTTTTCTTAAGACATTGACGGGCTAAACTGGATGGAGGAGAACAATTTGTCTCACCTAAACATTATTTTTTCTCTCCAATGTCCATATATCGAGCACGCAATCAATTTTCCCAACTTTTTCTCACCTAATGATTGTTTCTCTCTCCAAAAATCAGGCACGCAATCAATTTTTCCCAAATGACTCGCAAAGAAAACGGAAATTGAAAAAAGAACTTAACAAATATGATGCCTAGAATCAAGGAATTCTCGAATTCATAAATTCAAATGGAATTGTCCGTTCTTCCACATCTTGAATTCCAAAAAAATCGTTAATCGTACTTAAAAAATAAAGCTCCGGTCGAGCTGGAAAATAACAAATTTTTCTTCACGAAATCTCATATGTTTAGATATATTGTATATATACATTAGATAAACATGATCTGACAGTTCTTTAAATATTAACTATATAGTTATACAAAAGATAAACAACATATAAACAACACATAAACATGATCTGACAGTTCTCTAAATATTAACTGTATAATTATACAAAAGATAAACAACACAGAAACGAAGTAAAACATAATACACAGTTCTAAATGACTGCAAAATCCAAAATATGTAGTTATACATAAGATAAACAACATATGTAACTTTGCGCACTCCCAAAAACAACACAATACAGATTATGTATAACTAACGTATAATTTGTGTATATGTTTACTACACTCCTTCGTGTTTTATATACTGACATATAAACTTTAAATAAATAATCTCCTGATCAAAACTCTGGTGCGTGTTCAAGCCTGCAATTTTGGTGTGTATTGAAAGAAAAACTCTGGTCGTGCACACATGAGGCCAGGTAACCTCCATTATTCTTCAATCCCTTCTGCATATACTCATTCATCATCTTCTCTATTTTTTTCACGTCTCCATTTCCAGAGCAAGAAACCGTCACCTTCTTCCAATCCCACCATATTATGAGCATTAGGTACAGTAGGAATAAGCAAATGAAGGTTGACGTGAAGACGGCCGACACCACGATCTTGGCAACCTCTGACTCGATAAGTACTTCCTCGTGTGCCCACTCGATTATCCACACTGAATAAGCAACGACACGTACAAACCGTCATTGCACCAAAACTAACTAACAGCCATAGGAAAAATTGCACTATTCGTCCACTAACTATACCCTCGTTGCACTTTCGTCCTTTAATTGTTTCTGGTTCACAATTGGTACACTAACTTTTTTTTTTTGGTAATTTTAGTCCAAAATGACATTCCGGTGCTCATTTTCGTCGGAATAGCTGATGTGGCGCCCAGTCAGATCAGTATTCCATTCTCGGTGTGATGTGGCACGAGGTGGCGCCTAGTCATATCGAAAAAATTGCACTATTCGTCCACTAACTTTACGTTCGTTGCACTTTCGTCCTTTAATTGTTTCCGATTTACAAAATCAAAAGAAAAAAAAAATATTAAGAAAATCAAAAGAAAATGAAAATGCTTTAAAAAGAAAAAGAAAAGACATGTGGATAAAAAAAATTAACAAAAAAAGAATATTAATTAATAAAAAAATCATTTTGTTTAATGATTTTAAAAAAAAAATAAAATAATATCTTTTTTTTAAATATAAATACATTTTTTTTATTTAATTAAAAACTAAATAATTAATAAAAAACGAAATGAAAAACAAATTAAATGTTTAATGAGAAATAAATATTTTTTGTTTAATGGTTAAATATTTAATAAAAAAGAAATATTTATCATTTCTTTGTTTAATGAAAAAAAATATTTTTTATTTAAATAAGAAAATAAAAAATATTTAATAAAAAAATAAATATAATACGAAATAAATATTTTCATGAGTAATAAATATTTAATAAAAATTTTTTATTAATGGTTAAATATTTAATGAAAAATTAAGTATTTAATAAAGATATATTTTTTCATTTTTTATTAAATATTTCATTTTTGTATTAAATACTTAATCATTAAATAAAAAATATTTATCACTCATTATAAATTTATTTCGTTTTTATTAAATATTTCCTTTTTATTAATCATTAAATATTTTATTTTTTATTAAATTAAAAATTATATATTTTTCTTTTTCTTTTGATTTATCTTTTTCTTTTTAAAGCTTTTTATTGTTCGTTTGATTTTTTTAATATTTTTTTCTAATTTTGTAAACTGGAAACAATAAAGGACGAAAGTGCAACGAATATAAAGTTTGTGGACGAATAGTGCAATTTTTTTGATCTGACTAGGCTCCATCACGTGCCACATCACACCGAGAATGGAAATTCCGATCTGACTGGGCGCCACATCAGCTATTCCGGCGAAAATGAGCGCCGGAATGTCATTTTGGACTAAAATTACCAAAAAAAAAAGTTAGTGTACCAATTGTAAACCGGAAACAATTAATGGACAAATGTGCAACGAGGGTATAGTTAGTGGACGAATAGTGCAATTTTTCCAACAGCCATAATGAAATAAGAAATATAGACAAGAATCTTACCACATGTAAAACAAAACTTTTTCTGATTTATACTATATACCGGCTTTCACCTCAATAAAATTTTCACACTAAAAACGACTTAGCCCTTGGTGTGGAAGTCATAGAATCACTTTCTACTAGCATCCTCTTTACTTGTCCGATTCCTTGCTTGCTTACCAGAATTTTGGGGTCTGTGCTTCCTGGTATTAGAATAATTGTTGTGTCTCTTTGGGCCGGGCCTGTTGAAGGAACTTCCTAAATTGGCATCCGTTTTGTCTGTTGGGCCATTTTTCCGTGGCCCACTGGATACAGTGTCGGATTCTGTAGGAGGTGAGGCAACTGGTTGTGGAAGAAACACACCTGGCAATAAGACCTCATTCTTTTTGGGCTCAATCAAGCCATGGTTTTCTTACTGGAGTCTAAGTACTTCCTCAAATTTTTGTCTTCTTAATTTCTCAGAAACAGAATGAAGAATGTCTTTGTCGATCTCTGTCCCACTGGAATCCTGATAAAGATACCATATAATGAACGACAAGAAACGCTATTAAATGTAATTAAAGCTCGATATTGTTGCTTTGAAAGAGAAGGAAATAATAAACTGTATAAACAGTGATTTTATATACCAAATGTTCACCAGTCCCAACCAAGTCGAGCACGTGTTCAATATCCTTGGCAAGAAACACTTTACGACAGACAAGGCACTTTGACATATTCTCCTCCACTATTTTGTGTTTGCCTATGCCAGACAGATCATGAATTGTAACAGAAATCTGAGATCAAATTGAGCAAGTTCACCATTATAACAAAA